CACCCATAGATGACTCGAAATAAGCAGGTAAGTAAAAATAGCGTCTTTGGCTTTGGAATGCACATGCAGCAGGAAGGGAGCAAAGGGGGCTGCAACATACCAGCCTTCCAGTTCCTGTCTGGGCCAGTTTGGTGATGCCAGTTTGTTTTCGGGGACACACAGATGCTTCCAGGGAAACACCCAGACTCAGAAGCAGCCCCCCGTGCGCCATGGAGGAGTGAGTGCACTGTCCCTTGGTTACTTGGAAGAGTCCTACTTTCTGCAGTGTCCTTTTGGGAGTAGGAAGCAAGTTTACGCCGCTGGGATATGGTGGGAATCAGCAGAACCCGAAAACCAGGACCAAGGTCAGAGCCTCCTGGGAGGAGGAAGAATGGCCGAGGCGGACGGGCTCCTGCGTCAGAGCATCGACAAGCCCGCCCTTCCCTTGTGCTCTGCTGGTCAGACCGCGGAACACTGCCTCTGTGTTCCTGTCTGGCCCTCGGCCCGCGCCACAGCCCTGCTGGGTCAGGACTGAACCAGGCCTCCCTTCCCGCCCCTCCATCAGGGCCGTGTGGGCAGAAAGGGACCTCACCCGGCCTTGTCATCCTCACTGAAATGCCTCCTAGATTTCGGATGTCTTCCCCTGATGAATATGCTCCTTCTAGTACTTTATATAACTTGACTTTTTTCTCCCAAGTTGTTTCCAGGCTTCTAAGAAAGGGCTGAAATCCTCAAATTCCCAGGAATCCCCTCGAATTCTTGAAGGAATTGTGCCCGCTGTCCCTGCAGGTGAGGGACAAACACAGAAAGCACTTCCTCCCCACTTCGGGGGGAGCGTGGGGACACCACTGGTCCACAAAGCACATCACGGGTCACTTCCTCGGACATGGATGCGACTCTAGACATCTGGCCACGCTGTGCATGGCACAGGTGCCCCTAAGAGTGGCAGAAGGTCTCAGCTTTCACTTCTGTCTCCAAAGATGAGTGTTCACAAACCATGAGGCCCCTGCCAAGTGCCCAGTCCTCTTAAAGCTCGAGCTAACGTAAAGCCTTTCTAGCATGCAGCTGGTACTGACTGGACTGTGCTAGAGGTGAAAACAGTGCACACGTAGCACAGACATGGCCGGCAACCTCTGCGGGAGAACCTGAGAGCCGAGCAAGCCTGAGTGGTCCAAGTCCTCGCGCTCCACTCCGCAGCTGTGCATCACCACGGAATGCTCACCATTTCCAGAAATCACAGCAAAAGGAGATTCGGTCTCCTCGACAACCCCCGACAGCATATCCCGCCACCCGAGGCTGTGGCTGCCGCCTTTGCCCAAGGTGGGCCCCTCCACACAACTTTGGACTCTTCCCTCCTCTCCAGAACCCAGCTCCCTTTCCAGGAATGCTGTCCTTCCCAGAGCTTCGGAAGAGAGTCTGTCTCCTGCTTCCAGCACATCATGCAACGCTCCTCCGCTCCTCGCTCCTCCCGGGACGCCGCCCGCATTCTGTTAGGACCGTAATCTCCAGAATATGGGATCAGCAAACGCCAGAGTGAGGCGGCAGATTCTCCTTAAGAAACAAGCAAAGTGAGAGTGTTCTGTGTCTCAAGTCAAAGCAAGGGTGTCACCTTCCCCACCTCCCAGGGTGACATCAGTCAGATAGGTTTCTCCAAAACGGAAATATTTGTTTATATGAGCAAATGAATGCAATTTAAGGTTCTTCTGGGGGAAATGCTGTGAAGACATGAATCGTCTTTAAAAAGGACTATCTCTGAATTACCTTCCAAACAACAAATGCCTGAATTTGTCGAGTAAATTCTGGTGTCCACCCTGGTAACGTGAGGCCGCACCACCCACGTCTGAGGCCCCAGGCTTCGCGTGCTCACTCTCTCCTACCCGACGCTTCTGCAGATATCCAGCCACTCTTTAGGAACACCATTTCACGTTCTTATCACTCTTCTGCAAAATTCATAGACTGAGAAATTACTAACCACTTACAGCTTTGTTGGCTGGATACCACACAAACACATCCTCACCGTATACTTTGTGTCTAGGTGACTGTTTATTTATCAGAATAAAAAAAAATACGGTCTCCCACTCCAATATCTATGTTTGGCTTCACACTATGGTCCCAAACTACCAGTGACAACGAGAAGAACAAACTTGACCAGAACGAAACTTCTTTCATGGCCAGCATCCTCACACACTTGCACACATTTCTCTCCAGTATGTGCAAGTGTACCTTCTAGTAGCATTAACACATCCAGTCAGTGTTTACATTTCTCTAGTGGCTCATGAGGTTTTTTTTTTAAACTGTTTTTATCTAAGTCTCTTCCAACCCGGGTGTTCCCTCATCTCTCTTCCTCTGCCCAGACTTGGCTGAGTAGATCCTGGTGGTGTCCGGACCACGTCTTTCAGTCCTTGTGAGCCTGGTTGGCAACTAGATCAAGAGGTCTGACCAGGCTCAAGTCCAGTTTTCGTGGCAGAAACACTCCCTCCACAGTGCCGTTGGCCATCTAGTGAGCCATGCAGAGCACGCACGAGAGTCCCCTGCTGTGCGAGCCACCCTCGCTCGCTGACCCTGCATCGGGGGCTTTCGCACAGGTCACCCTAGTCGCGTCTTAGTACTGCTGGCTGCCTCCGGGTCAGAGACACACAGAATCAGAATGCCCGTCCCACCATCCTCCACGAAGGTGCCACTGAGAAAAGCTCTTTAGCCTAAAAAAAAGTCAGCTGGAGAGCCTGGGGGGCGGGCCAAACAGCAGGCAGCAGAGATGGGGACCTCCCCACTCGGGGAAAACCATGGGCATGAGCCGCTGAATGGAGACACTGCGGGCATCTACACTGATGTTGGGCAGCAGGGAACACTTGTCCTGACTGCAGAGAGCCCACCGGTCAACACGGAAGGGTGGATGGGACAGATGACTTGATAATGAGAACTATTTGTACTGTCCTTGCAACACTGCTGGAAGTCCAAAATTATGTCCAGAGGAAAAGTTGAAGGAAAATCCTTGCACCTCACCTCCTCTGCTGGTCTCACCAGAGTCTCAGGGAAGGTGGGGAGTGGAGCCTGGGGCTGAGGGGAGGAGGGCTGGGGTCTGGCCACCTTCGGGGGCTCCTGGGCCCTGGGAGCTGAGTCCAGCACCAGCTGCGCCCAAAAGGGCTCTGCCCCGACCTCGTCATTTTAATCCCCACGGCTCCTTCCTGGCGGCCTGCCTGTAGAGCGCGACCCCGGGCTGGGCAGCGGGGCGTCGCTTGGCGGGGTGAATCATAGCCGGTCTGTAAACACCTGTGTCTTTACATGGACGTTTCTGATCAACGTACCTGAATTTCCTGCTGCAAACAGCACAAACCCTGAACACTGAGGGACCATCTGATTAAAAGTTCAACTTAAAGCATCAGCCTCAGAAGGGCCTCGGGGACCCTCATGGAACAGGGGACTGAGGGTTTCAGAGCTGCGCTCTTGAGCCTCTGGGGCCCTCTGCGCTCTTGGGCAGGTCGCGTGCCTGCCCAGGTGGAAGACGGGCGCACTCCCTGGCTTTCCAAGAGGGCTGGGGAGGGTGAAAGTGGATTCAGCTCTGGGGGCTGCGAGGCTCTTCCTTGGGAGGGGCTTCCTGAGAAACCCAGGCTGTTCTGTCTTCTTGAACGTTCATTACCCAAGCCAGCTCACTTCTGAAACTGAGGAGGAGCCTTGAATTCCTCGGGGTTAAGGAGTGTAAAGCAGCGTTAGGCGGCCCCTCTTCTTCCCGGCCCGCTCCGCCCTGAAGGAGCCTCAGCGACTCCCGCGGCTGTGCTCCGGTGCGCCGCCGCCGCCGCCGCTGCCGCCGCCAATGAGCAGGGCCAGTCGAGGTCGTGGGGCTTAGGAGCCTGAGTCTCCCTCACTCACACCTGGCCCTGCCGCTGACTTCTTTCCGCGGATGACGTCACTCCGCTGGAGTCCTTGTCTGCAGCCGTTATCCCTGCCAGAGGGGTGGGAACAGGCTGGGTGCCTCAGGTGTGTCTCTCCAGCCCCTGACGTGGCCCCTGCTGCACAGGCGTCTCTGTCCGATGAGCATTTAACACACAGGTGCCCTTTCCTCTGCAGGGAGATTCCAGAGTCTCCGACTGCACCACGATGACTAGGAGAAGAAGTGTCTCTGGGACAAAGGCAACCTCTTCCCTCTAATGGGTTATGTCTGGGAAGCTCTGTCCCTCGCCTGCCTCCTGCCAACCCCAGAAACAGACCCCCGGATCCCAGGACAGACTTGTCCTAGGGTGCTGACGAACGGCACGGGTCCTCTGGACCTGCCCACTCGCACCAGTGGTATTACATCCCCTTCTTGTACTCAGTGAGAAGCCGAGTTTATGAAAAATAATGACTAAACTGGGGTCTGGAGTCCCGCTGCCACTTACAAGCCCTGAGCAAGCACGTTACCCACAAGCCTCAGTCTCAACCTTGAAGTGGGAGTAATGGTGCTACTCTGAGGGGGGCGCCCCACCGGGACCAACGAAGTAATTCTCGCAGAAGAGGGGCCTGGCACACGCACGGGAGGGCTCTCATCTCTACTGCCTGTCCCCTGCAGCAGTGCTTGAACAAGGAGACAACTGACTCCTTTAAATTAACCAGAAATGAGCCCACAAGTGGATGAGCAAGTATTTTTCTAAGACAAAAACCACCTGCCATGGCAACAATAAAGTGCCTCATGGGTATTTGACCAAAATGAGGCTTCGTCCCTGTCCTGATAAAGATCGGCCTCCAGAGGAAAGCAGCCAGCCCCGAGGTGTCTCTGCACCGACCGCGGGCGACGTGGCGTTCACCGCGACGAGGGGCTGCTCAGGGAACCAACAGCAGCACTCGGCCTGCCCTGACTGAGAGTCACCTCTGAGCGTTCTCCAGAGGGGCCGCGGGGCGAGGCAAGCTGCTTTTAATCAATCCCGTGAAACCGGGCAAAGGCATCGGAAGCAGAAGAGCAGAGTCCGTTCCCGTCCTCAGGGCCTCGGACCACGCGTGTGAGTGAGGGCAGGTCCGCTGTGAGGAGCACGAGGAATCACGCCTCTGGGTGTCGTTCATAACATTTATTTTGGAAAAATATTTTAAAAAGGAATTTTTTCATTAACAAAACAGTAAAAAACTCAAATAACATTTGCACAATATTCCATAAATACATTTATATACAAAAAATATAGTCACATAGACCCGAAGTGCCTTTGTACATATTTACCAAAAATTTAAATTATAAAAAATGAACATCACAAAATACTCAAGCTTTACAGATATCATGAAAAATATTTTTACAGGTCCAAAAAATAACACACATTTTTTTCCACCTAGAAAAAAAACACATTTTAGTATCAAAAAGGACGATGAAGGCAGTATTTGTGATTCTAATTCAAGAAAAGACTGGCTCATGAGAATCCAAAATATACACTTCAGGCAGTGCATGCTTCTTATGTAGTAATTAAGTCCATTCATTTAAATATATATTTTTTAAAAGCAACTGTCCATAGTGCAATGGAAACGTCCTAAAAAGGCAGTGCAGCAGGCACCTGGAGCGCCCGTGGCCGCAGCCCGCCGGCCACGCCGCAACGTCAGGAAGAGAGCCGGGCTTCTCAGCAGCGGTCCATGAAGCGCCTCCTCTCTCAGCAGCATTCGTCGGGGCATATATCCTTGGAATTTTACTTATTCTAAGAGAAACGGGAATTTGCCGCATGGCCTCCGCTTTACACCTAGAGGGGCCACAGGACAGGGTGGGCAGTCAGCGCCAGCCAGTCTACGCTCCAGTCCCCACCCAGGCCACCAGCCACACACTGACCTCTGTCGCGATGACGCACTCATCCTTCTCCTCGGATATGACGTACACCGACTGGTACTTCGTGTCTTTCGAAGTGGAGTGCACAGAGTCCGGCCTTTTTCTTTCAGAAGCTTCTCCACTAGGAGGAAAACAAAAGACAATCACAGTCAATCCGAGAAAACATTTCTGAGCAGGAAAACGACCAGAGCTTGGAGGAACACACCTAGCTGGCCCTCAGCACCCCAGTGTTGGAGCGCCCTCCCCAGCCAGCCCCTGCCCAACCTGGCCCTCAGCACCCCAGTGCTGGGGGGCTCTCCCCAGCTGGCCCCTTGCCCAGCCCGGCCCTCAGCACCCGTGTTGGGGTGCCCTCTGGGGCTGGCCTTCCCATGTGTCCCCTCTGGCCTGGGGCACGCACCCTCTGAGTGTCGGGGTGCCTTTCTCCTCCCCCACAGAGCCCTGGGGCGGGCCCTTGGCGTCGCGCTTGCTGTGGGGGTCCCTCGTGGCGGTGGCGCCCCTAGGGTCCTGCAGCAGGTTACAGCCCACGGCAGGGTCGAGGGCCTTGAGGCTGCTCTTCTCCGCACCCGGTTCCGCGTGGAAATCCACCTTCTTATTGGTGTTCTTGATCTGCGTGGCCCCAATGACGCTGACGGAGATGTCCTTCTCCCGCTGGCAGTTGGCCAGGTTGTTCATGGTCTCTGTCTCCCCCCGGCAGGGGTCAGCGGGGGGCCGGCGCTTCTGTAGCCTCAGCCGCACGCAGACCACGGCAGCGGCACAGCCCAGCAGCAGCATGAGGACCAGCACCACGCCCGCACACACGGCCACCCAGGGGAACGGCCCGGCCTGGCCTTCCACATACTTCTCGGTCAGATCCACCACCACCGGCCCGAGGGGCGGCTCGGGGAGCAGGAACTGGCAGTTCGGGCCCCCATAGCCCCGGGCGCACTCGCACAGGTAGCGGAGGGCCCGCTCGTGGCAGGTGGCCCCGTTGTGGCAGGGCGCGTGCTCACACCTGCTGATGGGGGCACTGCAGTTCCTGCCCGTGTACCCGGGGGGGCAGGTGCAGGAGTATTCATTCACACCATCGTGGCAGGTGCCCCCGTTGGCACACGGGGAGGAGGCACAGTCGTCCACGTTGTCATCACAGTGCCTCCCAGAGAAGCCAGCCTGGCAGCGGCAGAGGTAAGTGTCGCCGAGGTCCACACACTGTGCACCTGGAACGCAGGACACGGGCAGTGGCTTGTCACCCAGCAAATGTCCTGAAGCATTTGCTGCATCACACACCAGCAACGGGGCAGACCTGTCAGCCTAGACGAGGTCGTCACTTAAGAGAACACACGTCAGATATGAGCCCGTGGTGGGGAGTCTGGTCTAGCTCCATAAACACAGAACATAGGCTCCGGCCCCTACGTGTGCTGGGCAAGATCTCTGCCTGCATCCCTGCCTCGTCATCAGAGCAAGCCAACAAAGGACTGGGCCACAGAAGAGGCTCAAGGCGATGGCGGGCTTACCCACAGTGACAGGCAGTGAAAGCAGGAATCGAAGACCCAAAGAGAGAAAAGAAGGAGGAAAGAAGCTAGGGAGGGGTCTCAGTCCTTCCAGAGTCAAGTCTGCTAAACCTTCCCCCTCCAAAAATGAGACATCAGTGCCACTGTTGGTTCAATGAATGGAAACAAGCAGGAAAAAAGAGCCAGAGCTCACAGGGCTGCCGCACCTCTGCACGGCACACAGAGGGCAAAGCAAAATGACTCCTCTCCGAGCATCAGCGTGTCTAATGGAGAAGCTCCAGAAGTTTCCAGAACCGTTGGCCTGTCGGGGGCCCAGCTTCCCTCCCTGTGAGTTTGCTTAGGGCATCCCACCCCTCGTAGAGACCACAGCTCCTCGCACAGACACACCAGCTCTATGTGGTGGCGGCACGGGCTGCCCTCCGATGCACAGTGGCAGAGCTGGCGCTGGGGCAGACTGCTGGTGCTCAGGATCTTGGGCGCCTGAGACACACTGCAGGCAAGTCCTTGCCTCTCCTGCCTGTGGCATTCCCCGCAGAGAATGAATATTCCTGCCTGTCTTTCTCACTCCCTGGGCATTTCCAGCCTGAGGATAAAATTTCTAAGAAGAGTTTCTCACTGTTCAGACAAAAGGGCTCCTGAAATTCGAAGTAACTTGCAAACTGATGGACTGGGCTGGAAACTAAGCGCACATGCTTCTGAGGCGCTCTCCGGCGGCCCTTACCATTGGGACAGGGCGAGGAGCTGCAGGAGTCCATCTTCTTCTCACAGTTGAAGCCAGAGAAGCCCAAGGGGCAGCGGCAGGTGTACCCCCCTTCAGGGGTTGTCCGAGCACCGTCCCCCATTGAAGCAGGGGCCGTCGGCACAGGCCATGGCACTCAGCTCACAAATCTGGCCGTAGAAGCCAGGTGGGCAGGTGCAAGAGTAGCTGTTCTCGAGGTCCTGAGGAACGGAGAAGGTGAAGAAAGCTTTCTTACGTTGCTCCAACGGAACCGCGCGGCCCGTATCAAACCAGGACTCCCGGCGCAGCAGGGGTGCCCACGGTGGCCAGACTCACCGTGCAGCTCCCTCCATTCCTACAGGGGCTGGTGCTGCACTCGTCCACCTCCGTCTCGCAGTTGGCCCCCGTGTACCCGGGCCGGCATGAGCAAGTGTAGCTTCCCTGGCCTGTATTGCTGCAGGTGGCCCCATTCCTGCAGGGCTTGTGGTGTGTGCAATAGTTCAGGTCTGCGAGAAAGGAGACAGGAAGCCCAGGGTTAAGTTCTTGAGACTGTACTTCCCAGGGGCCAAGACGGGGAGCCAGGCTGCCCGGAAGTAACAGGAGGCTTACCCTGGTTGCAGAACAGGCCCCCCCAGCCTTCCTGGCAATTGCACTGCCAGGGCTGCTGGCAGGTGCCATGGAGACAGCCCGGGTACCGAATGCACTGGTCACAGTACCGGCCCTGCCAGCCCACTCTGCACCTTAGAAGAGAAGATGGAGTCAGTGGATGCTGACACTACTGGGTTCCTAGCAACACATTTCGCACACACGAAAATCTCTGCAAACAGCATCCACACCACTGGTTCCCAAATGAGGCAGAACCCTGGAAGGCACTCAAATACAAACTGAGGCCCGGGTCCCATACAGAGGGTCTGGTTATGGGTGCCAGGGCCAACCAAGGAGGCATCGCTAAGTGATTCTAATGTGCTGCAAAGTTTGAAAACCACCTACGTGCTCTCCTTTTCTGCGCCAGTTCTTTTTAACCTCCATCTGCAAGTTCCACAACCGCCAAGGAGCTCACATGCTGACAATCCTTGACCCTCTGCACATCCATATATTTTTTAAATAGAAACACCAGAAGAAAACAGGCCTCCAACTAGCTAATCTTAACTGAGTTTCTTACAAGATCATCTAGAGTTGCCTTACAAATATACTAGGTGGAAAAGGATAACAAGAAAAAGGAAATTAAAAAAGCAATTTTTACAAACTTACTTGCATTCCCCTGGCTTGTCGCAAAACCCATGCTGCTCATCGCACCCTGGCAAGCAGATGGCTGCAAGAAGAAAAGGCACAGGGTCAGCCCACCAGAGCGCCCCCCAGCACAGCAGGCTGTGCCGGCTCTGCAGCAAGCCCATGAGCGAGTGCATCGGCGGCCGCTGGTAACACGGACTTTACTCAGCCCAGGAGCATTCTTCTTAACACAGCGGCTCAAGGACAAAAGAGCGCGGAAGCCCCCACCCCCACCGGCCCCTTTTCTTCTAAGAGAGGGTCAGAAGTCCTTCCCCCCCTTCTCCCCCACTTCCCAATTCTATGCACAAAGCTCCACCTCTTAATACCCAGAAAGTGTGTGTTAGATAAGGGTGGACAGCTGGTATGCAGAGTACCAGGGCAAGACAGCTGCTCCATTGTCTGCTCTCTCCCAGCAGCTGCCCCAGTGCAACAATACCGGCCCCTCGCCCCATGCCCCCACCCCTCACACACACCCTTAGCATGCACACCACACACACACACACACACACACACACACACACAC